AAGAACATCTGGGGACCCAAGGTTGGGAACCACTGTACTGTCATTTAACATTGAACAAAACTTTTATCATGATCTAGAAATTCCATAGCTCCTTTGCTCCTTCGTGAATGAATAATGCAATGTCACCATTGTTTAAGTTTCCACTTTGTCCCCTTTGTATCTGTTTTAGCAGCTGTATGCATTATAGATGAGACCAACTGGGAATGTCAATTTTTGTCCTGGCTTTTCTGCCTCCAGTGAATTTCATCGGAAAGGGTTTGTTGCATTAGCTCAGGTACGGATTGTTTCCATACCTGAACTGGGAAAAGGTGAACAAGCACCTTCACCCTTTCTCCTGGTAGTGGCGCGGTGTGTGAATGTTGCAAATGCAGGATAGAATAAGGAAGAAAACAGAAGTAAGTTCTGAGAAGTTCAATCATGTTCTATTAATTTTTATAGCAAAGTATGTTATACAGTTGCAGCTAAATGTATGTGGATAGCTTAGTGAGTAAGGTATCTGGCTGTGGAGCCGTTTGATTCCCCACTGTGACTCTGGGGAGAAGAGCCAGCCTGTGTGGCCTTGGGCAAGCTGCACAGTCTCAGGGCACCCCCAGAGGAAGGGAATGGTCAACCACTTGTGAATACTTTCTCCCTAGTAAACCCTGAAAAGGGACACTGTAAGTCAGAATTGACTTGACAGTACACGATTATTATTATTATGTTTTTTATCTACATTATACGAAGATGCAGAGAAAAGCCAAGCAAGCCTCATGTGTAAGAAATTCCTTGCCAGCCTTCAGATGTGAGGGGTATTTTGGAACTTTCCTAAAAGCAGGCTTGCAGTTCAGCATAAACATTCCTATCCATTAAGAGTGATTTACTCATGGAGACAGGAGTGTGCGGCAGGTGCAATGGCATGTTGGGATCTTTATCACGATGTTCATACTGGCTGTATTGAAGCAGCTCGGCTGCTTCTTTTGATGGAGATGGGCCTGAGCATGGGGTTGGCTATGACCAATTACAGTCAGAACTGAGCCAGGATTGAGTCGTGAGCACTGGTATGTTGAACATGATGCTGCCAGTCTATGTACATGCCATGTATGTCTTGATGGCATATCTTTGGCATCTTAAATTAATGCCACTCACAGGGTTCTTGTAGCTGTTAATGCTAAAATAGCATTTTCAAAGAAATTGAAAATGAATTGAACCGATTTCTGAATTGAACCCATTTCTGAGGAAATGGGTTCAGTTTGTTGACTTCCTCACTGGGCAAGGATTCGCTACATACATTAAAAAAACAGAAACTCCATCCATTAAAAATAGTATCTATTATAGCTTAAAAAGAATTAGTATTGATTTTAATTCTTTTCATCATGAAAGCATGACATGTCAGAAGATTTTCCCTCCCCTATATAGTGGTATGGTGCTTACGCGTTGTATATTTATGTCCTGCTCGATTTTGACTAGCCAAAGGGCTACTCTTTCTTTGTGTCATTCATACCAGAGAAGGTTTGATTTCCCTCAAGGATTTACAACTCAGCTAAATAATATGTTTCCACTATATATTTTGAGATGTTTTTGTGATTCATATGGAGTGTTCAAATTTTTAAGAATTATTATGTAAACCATATTGCTGGGAGATGATGCCAGTGGCATCCAAACAAGTGCATTGAAATTGGTTCCAGTGGGAGCTTGCTTGAATTACGAAGTTAGTAATGCAGCCCTAAAAATAAGCTGCTTTAGCAAAATTGTCTGTCAGGAAGAAAAGAAATGGTCACAACAGGACACTTTTGATAGTTTGTTTAAACACAGCAAGCACTTACAGGATGCTTGCTACAAGTTATAACAAGAAAGAACCTTGGTGATGCCTCCTGAAAGAGAACAGTTTCCCATTTCCAGCAAACTAAGCATTCAGTCAAAAAGTTTCACTTCAGAGCTTTCATGAAGCAACAGTCCCCGGCCTCAGCTGCCCTTGGGTTTCTCTGTTGACAGTGAAGGAGGCTGGTGGCAGGCATGGCAGCCACCATCTTCTCAAAGCTGGGGAGTCTTCTTCACACAAGCCACTTGAAACTTCATAGACTCTGGCCCCTACATTGGTTCCCTGCCAGTTGGGGCACCCATGGGAGGGGGTTTGCTTCACAGGTAGACTGGAAGGAAGAGATTTTTTTTTCTTTTTTACTTTGTGGTATCAAAATGGCCTGATCAAGCCTGGCTTCCTCAAACCTTTCCCCACCCACCTGTCCTCATTTTATATTGTTTCACAGTGTTTGGGGTACTATAATTGGAATTATTTTTGTCACAACTTTATTTGGGCAGCTTGTAAGCATGAGAACAGATCTAGGTGGATAGGGAGTGGGTACCTGACCTTTCCTGGTGGTTCCCTTTTAGGGGGCACAGTGTAAGATTGGGAATGGGCTGAGCTTGAGGGCAGCCACACACTCTAGCTCCCCGGGTGACAGGTAGGACCACATAGTGGCATACATCCAAGGGGTGTTATCTCAGCTAACATCAGCCAGCAAGTGGATCAGTTGATGCTGACCTATCCTATCCTTTTTCTTGTATCCCATATTTATTTCCAAGTCTCGGCCTTGGCCTCACTTGAACTTGACTGACAATTGCAGCCCACTTTAATTCCTATTTTTCATATAGGAAACGGGGGTGTAAGAAACTAAAACTTTGCCCAAGACTGCTCAGTCACTCAAAGATTGATGAGGGATTGAATCAAAAATTTCCCAATTTCAAGGCCAAGGATTATTTTATATCCAACTTTATACTGGGGGCAGAGTTTAGTGCTATAGTGCGTCCCATATGCAGGGATGTCCACAATGGGAACCATGTGGCCTGAAGTTCTTGTCAGATTTGCAACGGACCTCTATTCTGCATAGAAAAAAGAGATGGGAGGCAGTGAAGGTCCCTGAAAGAGTGGGAGGGATTGGGCGACCGACAAAAGGGGGACGAGAAGGAAGACAGATAAAAATGGAGGGATCAAAGACAAGGGAGTGTGAAGCAGGGTGCCAGGTGTGATATTTCAAGAAGACCCCTTATTAGGGATTATGAATGAATAATTTGGATGGACCAGGATGCCTATCGTCCTATTTTGTAACAAACTTGCAGTAAAAGTCATCACACCTTTACTGGTGTTTTTCATATTTACTGTCTGATGTAACTCCTATTTCTAGTTACTGGAGATAAATTCAGAAGAACGATTTTCTCAGCTGGCTGATATCCAAGACTTTGCTTATTTGGCTGACATCAACTGGGATGCCGTTCTACAGAAGAGGATAACTCCTGGCTTCCTTCCTACTGTAAGCATATTACTATAATTTCTTTTGAAATCCAGAAACTAGAAATGGTGGTGCAAATGACAAATTCCTAGGCCACATTTTACTATACTGTATCATAGTATATGGCAGGGAATTCTGTATCCAGACTGCCAGCAGAATGTCTTGTATAAATAAGACATGAACTTCTAAAATAAGATTTAAAGTAGAACCCTTGACTTAATTTCATTTTCCAGGTGCACCCCACAGTGTAAGATGCACTATTTAATAAAAGCTCCATTGTGTTTCGAATGAGCATCCCTTCTCTCTCCCTATCCCCACACCTTCCTTAGAAAGGGAAGCTGAACTGTGATCCAACCTTTGAACTTGAAGAAATGATCCTGGAGTCCAAACCACTGCACAAGAAGAAGAAACGCCTGGCGAAGAAGGAGAAAGAGGGCACCAAAAATGATTCTTTAGAGGTGAGACATGGAGGCCAAATTACATTTCTTATTCCGTTTCTCTCTCTCTCGTGTCTGATGACTTGTCCATGAAAGCTCACTTTAAAAATATAAAAGTTAGTCTTTAAGATGCCACCATGTTTTTGTCTCGTTTTGTTTTTTATTTCTAGTTTGCTTTTATCTATAATTCGTATTCAGTATTACTGTCAGATTCACCTGTAAACATATCAGTGGACTTTGTGCCCATTTAAGGATCCCATCTTCATCTGATGTCTTTCTGATGTTAACTGGTCCCAAACATTTAAAACTACCTGCTCATTTTTTTTACTTTGATATGAATGGCAGTGATCCAAATGAGTAGTTTCGAGAAAAGTCTGTAAGCCTATCTCTGCTTATCTCTGTACCTTTTTTTACTTTGACATGAATGGCAGTGCTCCAAATGAGTAGTTTCGAGAAAAGTCTGCACTCAACATGCTGTAAGCCTATCTCTGCTTATCTCTGTACATTTGGATGAGAATGAACGGGACTAGCATGCTTCCTAATTCTTTGCACCTGTACTTTGCATTCATATAGCAAATCTTTCATACAAGGCCACAATTGCCAACAGCTAATAATGCTTTCTAGCCTTTGAGATAAGAGATTTCTCATGGTTTTAGCATGAACCCCCAATATGACTCATAGTAGAAACCACTTTCTCCTACAGAAAATTGTATTTCTTGAAAGTCATGCAAGAATGGAGGACATAGTTAGAAGCCAGGGGGGAATGTAAATACTGATCCATTGCCTTCATAAGTATGTGAAGACAGTGAGGAAAATTTTGCCATTTTCTGAACAGTCAATAATGATTTTCTCTTGGTTAATTATTTGACCCACCAGCCAGAGGAATCTCATGATGGGACTATGTGTCAGACATTCAAAGCTTTAAAAAGTTAGTCTCTCTCTCCCTCCCTCCCTCTCTCCCTCCATAAGTATGTGAAGACAGTGAGGAAAATTTTGCCATTTTCTGAACAGTCAATAATGATTTTCTCTTGGTTAATTATTTGACCCACCAGCCAGAGGAATCTCATGATGGGACTATGTGTCAGACATTCAAAGCTTTAAAAAGTTAGTCTCTCTCTCCCTCCCTCCCTCTCTCCCTCTCCCTCTCCCTCTCCCTCTCTCTCTCTCTCTCTCTCTCTCGGTGTGTGTGTGTGTGTGTGTGTGAGTGAGTGTGTATGAGAAAGAGAGAGAGAGAGAGAGAGTGATAACCCTCACCACCCCTAGCTAGGAATACTCCTTTAATAAAATGAGGAAACCTAGGAGTGAAGGTTTCTACCAGCTTTTCCACATCCCAGTGGCTCCAAGATGAAAGGAAGTCAGGGAAAAAAGTGATAATGGTGGAGTACAAAGTTTTGTAAAGGAAGCAATGGGAGGAAAGGAATATGAAAACGGTAGAGTACAAAGTTTTGTAAAGGAAGCAATGGGTGAATTCAGTACTTCTGGAATGAATATGGCTTATTGGGAAACAGGAAATTTGGGACTACCTTCTACAGATCCAGAGCCTACCATAGCGAATTAGCACAGTAGTCATTTGCAGCTTAGTGCTGGCGCCACACAGTGATGGCTGCAGTCAGGAGCCACATCTAAACTGTTCAATGACATCCGTCCTTCTGCCTTGCTGAGAACAGGCAAAGGGAGTCTGATTGGCTGCCGGTGGCCCTGAGGAGTCGGCCTCTGTGAGATAAGGATGAAAGAAGCCTTTTTTCTTGCATTATCTACGGCAATCTCTGCAGTTCTTAAATCATTAATTGGCCCTTGAGCAGAGCTTCTTTCTATAGATCGAATTGTGTTTGCTTCCTGACTAGAAGTGATATGTCCCTCATCCAGCTTATCACCGGGGCTTCTGGTGGTGAGCTAAAATAATCCACTCCAACAGTTAGGAAGTTTGATTTGTCTGTCTAGAAAACTTCAAAAATGCCTATGATACTACGTTGCACATTGCTACACAGTACCTTTATGCGCACAACTTTCTGATTAGTATCCAATACCAAGCAACAAAGGCATATTTCAGAAATGGTTTGCAAACAAGACTGATTTCTGTTCTTCTATAGTTCACAAATTAAATTAAAGGCACTTTGAAAGCAAAAGATGACAATTAAATGCTTGCATAAAATGGAGGGAAATACTTAATATCGAACCCCATTCTCTCACCACTGCAACTTCCCCTTTCTTAGAAAGAGGAAAGGCTCAGAATGAGGGAGAAACAAGTAATGCATTTTTAATATATAAGGAGAGAACTACTTGAGTAGAAAAGGACTCCTTTAGAGACTGAGGGCTCTTGGACCCAGCACTGCTGCAAAATGACAATGGTCTGTATGTGCCTTCTTTTCAGTTTGGAGCTTGTGGATCAGCTGCACCCATTCCTAGCGAAAGGGATTTGGCCCTCAGTGATCCATGCCTTAATCACCTCTCAGTTAGATTAGTGTGATGCCTTGTGTGACAATCACCTCTATGAAGCACCTACTTTTTGTTTCCCTCACTGCCCCCAGTGGATTAAATCTATCCACAATATAAAAGACGTTTGTCCAAACACTTGTCTGGTAAATGCAAACAGAACTTATTTATTGAAGTGTAGCAAAATTAATAATAATCATATACGTTCTTCGGATGCTCATTGTATTAGTTAGTTAGCTAGGCATCCTTCAGCCTTGAAAGACTATGGTAACGTGCTCTGTATGGAGGACTTGGAACAGCGTCTAGTGTGGCTGAGAAGGCCAATGCAAGAGTGGCAGTCCCTTCCCCACTCAAGACAAATCCAATCTGAGCCCTGTCCAGCTCCCTGGTTTTGCTGCTTTTGTGACTTCCTCTTTGCCTCGGCCTGCTGGGCAAGGGTCGCTTCAAATTGGGAGAGGACGTGATGCAGTGCCTGCCTCCAGGCTAAACGCTCAGATGTCAGGGTTTCCCATCTGTTGAGGTCCATTCCTAAGGCCTTCAGATCTCGCTTGCAGATGTCCTTGTATCTCAGCTGTGATCTCCCTCTGGGGCCATTTCCCTGCCCTAATTCTCCATACAGGAGATCCTTTGGAATCCGACCATCAGCCATTCTCACAATGTGCCCAAGCCAACGTAGACGTCGCTGTTTCAGCAATGTATTCATGCTGAAAATTCCAGCTCGTTCTAGGACTACTCTGTTTGGAACTTTGTTCATTGTATACAAGCAAATCATTCCCAAGTCTCTCTATACATACTTTCTTCTTGCCATATAATTAATTACCACCTTCTCTATTTATTTATTTACCTTAACCAGTCTCTAACTCAATCTCTATCTCTTCTGCCTCTGCCTCTGACTAACTCACTCTCTCACTCCTGACTGACTCTTGACTGACTCTTCACTCTCAGGCTCCGCCTTTTAATCTCTCTCAGCTCCGCCTTTCTACCACGTTTGCATAGAACATAAATAATACACGACTTGTTTAGTAAAACAAGGGGTGAACGCTACACCTTGTCTTGGGGGCTGCCCATGAAATGTATTCAGAAACTACAATTACTACAGAACATGACAGTCAAGCATGTGCTGTTGTCTGGTGGGTACATTACAGACCTCCTATCCCTGGTCTGGAACCAACTGTTCAGGCATTTTTTTTTATTTATTTATTTATTAGAAATCAGTTCAAGGTGCTGATTTTGATCTCTAATGCCCTAAGTGGCTGGGGCCCAGAGTACAGTATTCTGAAATTCCACCGTCTCCCTTATGGTCTTCAGTGGAGGTCCTATGACACGGTCCACCAATCTGACAGATTAGTCTGCCACGAATCCCTGTTTTCCATATTTTCATGGCTGAGCTAGGAGCACTGCTAAAGTAACATAGAAAAAGTCACGGATAACATCTCATGGGGGATATTTCTAAAGAACAGAGTGTCAGAATCATGGCACAAAGCAAAGCAGAGCAAAGTGTGCTGCTTATATACCGCTCCATAGTGCTTCAAGCACTCTTTGGGCGGCATACAAGTTAGTTATGCAGGCCACACATTGGCCCCCCAGCAAGCTGGGTATTCATTTTAATGACCTCAGAAGGATAGAAGGCCGACTCAACCTTGAGCCGGCTACCTGGGATTGAACCCCCAGTTATGAGCACAGTTTTGACTGCACTGCTGCAGTCTGATCACTGTGCCACGAGGCTCATATTTTCAATGAAGCTTAGTTGTTCAGAAGTGAAAAAACCAGTGGTTAAAGATGGAAAATGTAATTTAACATACACAAATAATCAAGAATATATGTTGCAGTTTGTGGCTAATAATGATAATTATTTTCCATCAGGTTAATTCTGGCTGACCCTTTCAGAATTTTCTAGGTAGAAGGCACTCAGAAGTGGTTGACCGTTCTCTTCTTCTGGGGGTGTCCTGGGACTGTGCAGCTCGCTTAAGAATACACAGGCTGGCTGTCTGATTCCGGGATACTTTATAGAGTGACACAGCTAGACAGTTACGTGACAAGTGAAGAATGAATTAATCTACTGCCTTCTAATTTTTTTTGTGATTTGCCGCTTCAGCTGGTAAGCCCCAAATATCTGTAAGGATGTGCTCTCTTTTCTTTTCCTTTTGCTGACTCTGTGAGGGTCCTCTTTCAGACGAATGCTCAAATGCTGCTGTGGATGCTGCACTCTTTTGACAACATCTCTGTAAAATCTTATGGTATAACGATGATTTCTCACCACCTCATATTTTTGTTTGTTTTGCGATGGAAGGCCTGTCAATTGCAGAAACACCTGGAATCAATCCAAAGGGACTTCATCATTTTCAACAGAGAAAAGTAAGTGCTGACCTGGAAAAGGAGTCTTTATCTTGGCAAGTGTGCTAATGTATGACATTCAGTCTGTTTCAATATAAGGAAGTCTAATTAGTGCTCCTCAATGAACTAAGAAGCGAGTTTGGCATGAACTCCATAGGTAAACGGTAGCCCTAGGGATTAGGCAATGTTCTGAGACTCTTGATGTGTGAGAGGGTGCTTTAACTCCTCCATTTTAAAAGCAAGCCCCAGCCAAGTTCCCAGTAGGACAAGGGATCACTGAATTCAATTTGTGGAGGCTTTTCATGTGATTAGGTGTACATTGACAACAGTGAGGTTGCACCTCTCCTGTTGTACTCCAAGTTGTAGTGATGCAAATGAGGGAAGACATAAGGTCTTGATTAAAAGCAGGGCAGATGTACAAAGGGTAGATTATGTCTGCTCTTGTGATTTCTGAGCAAAATAGAACCCATCTTTGTAACCAGCCCTCTTAGACTTGGTCATTGTGTATTGAACTTTAACTAGCAACAGGCTATGTTCTTGTTTTTAGTGTTAGATCAGGATGGGCTAGCTCTAGAGATCTGGGTGTGGGTGGGCAATAAATGCTCATCCTTGGAGCTTGGAGCTTGAAGAATTGCTTCTTCCTTCCCTCCATCCCTCCCTCCATATTTGTTCTTACAGTTGAAATGACACCCTTTTGTGGCTTTGTGGCCATCTCTCTCTCTCTCTCTCTCTCTCTCTCTCTCTCTCTCTCTGTCTGTCTGTCTATCTATCTATCTACACACAAGTGGAGCTACAGGGGCCTCGAAGTCCTGGGAGGTGGCACTATGAGGTCTGTCCAACTTGGTCAAGGGCATATTGTCCCAGAAATACTAGAGTAATAGGTGATCAGCTCCCAGCCTTCTAGGCTAGTGATGCTAGCTGTCCATTCTGTTGAGGTTATCTTTAGCAGAAGGTGGGCCTCAGAAATCAAAATAGTTGAGGATGGAGTAACCATGTAACCAGGATATGCTAAAAACCAGCAGTATGTGGCCTTTCCATTAGTCAAACTCAATATGAGCAGAGATATTGCTGCTTAATAAAATAAGAGGGATTTGTTTTAATGTGTATTCAGAAGTAGCTTTGTAATGCAAATGGAGAGCAGGCTACTCATTGCTTGCTGTGCTTCACTGCTGCACGATTATGGGCTTTGATTTCTCTTCTGTGTATTTCAGGATGAGGCAGCAGCATAACGAAATGCAAGACAACCTGATGTTGGTACAGACTAAAGACAAGCAGGAAGATGACCAGAATAATAACATCTGAGACCAGTTTAGCTCTTGCCCAGGCGCTGTCATCCAAAGCCGAGGCTTCTCCTTTAACTATTTCACAGAGCTTGAGAAACGAAATGTCAAGGAAAGACAAATGCCTTGCTCTGTGGTATCCAGACTACAAGCCAAGTGTCTCCTCCCACCCCCATGGAGCTATGGCTTAGTTACTTGCAGCAGTACATCAGGCAGGGGGTTTGCATTTTTAATGCCATTTATTTATTAATTTATTTATTTATCTATTTATTTTTTAAAAATGTTGGCTATAAGAACCTAGCATTTTCTTTTTCACAAAGATACACAAGTGTAGAAATCTTTTGTCCATGTAGTGCTTCTGATGGCAAACCATTGGGGCTGCTGATTATTGGGGTCAGTTAACTGCCTATAGGATCTCTTATCAGGTCTTCACTAAGTGCTTGTTCAATGAGTGGCTGCATATTTTAATAGATGCTTGAAAGAGACGGGCCTGAACTGCAGTTGTGGTGCAAGAGACTATGATGTCAAGGTCACCTCTTTCTGTACTAGTAACAGCTCTGAACTAAAACTGATATTTAGTTTACCAGCTCAATGTGTCTACCAGAGGAAAATACCCCTTGGCAGCCTACATAAAGTGGTTTCCTGGGGTTAATCCAGCACAGCTGCAAATGTGGAATCTAAGTATTTGTGAGTGAGCATCAAAACTGGTGGCAAGAGAGAACTCCTAAGATGTTCTAGGGCAGTGGTTCTTAACCTTTTTGAAAGAAATGCCCCCTTGAGCCATTGAGGAAGTTATCATCGCCCCCCTCCCTGAGGTGATGATATCTTACCTACCTACCTACCTACCTACCTACCTACCTACCTACCTACCTACCTACCTACCTACCTACCTACCTACCTACCTACCTACCTACCTACCTACCTACCTACCTACCTACCTACCACCCGGGTGCGAGGCAGCACTTCACGGGGCGAGGATGAGGACCCAAGAGACCCTTTCCTTCCACCCGATCCATACTCAGTGCTCCCCTAAAGGAGACAGGTGAGACGTGGCAGGTAGAAAGAGGTAGATCATCTGGCGGCAGCAGCAGCACTGGATCTACTGCCAGCACTGCGGCTGCAGTCACCTTCACAGGTTTGGATCGCTCCAGCGCTCCCCTACCGCCCCCTTCTGTTCTTTCGCCCCCCTACCACCCCTTTTCATTCTACCGCCCCCCGAAAAATGAAATCGCCCCCTGGGGGGCATTATTGCCCACGTTAAGAACCACTGTTCTAGGGCATAGAACTCACCAGCAAATGCACTGGAGAACTCCAGTCACTGCAGGGGGTGGGGCTGGGGCTTGAATCAATCCTTAACATTTTGTTAAGCCTGCATCTATCGGCAATAACCAATGTGATCTATAACCTGTGATATAGGGTACTTACTTTGCCTAGGGTGGACATTTGATGTCGTTAAAGCTGTTAGGAGCTGCCAAAAATCTGAAAGGGGTAGGGACTAGAAGGGAGTGTACCAAGCATTAAAATCAGAAAACCCTTCACTTTGGGGCATTACTAAGATTGTCTTTTTTGAAAGGGAAATAAATATTTTAATCTGTCCTTCTTTACATTTCTAGTTCCCTGCTTCCTCTTTCCATCTTTGCCTTCTTCTCCGGCTATAATGCAATTGGCTAAAAAAACTGAATAATGGCACAGAGGGGGAAATCGGGTCTGGGGTCAAACTGTATGCTTTCCCAAGGTATTTACAATGTGTTGGGTAGTGAATTATTCTATCACTCTGGGGCCAAGTATATAATGTGAAAAATACTCTTAGCCAACAGGCCCAACCCAGCAGAATGTTCGGTGTTTCTGATTTCAGAAAAAGAGTTGAATTTTGGCTGGCTTGTGCCCATCATTTGTGAAGTTTTAATTACGACACTGAAGTGGGTACAGTGTCATAATAAAAACTTCACAAATGGAGTTTTAATTATGACAGAAAGGTCTTTTATCTCAACTAACAAGGCAGCAGTTTTTACCTCTGCTTCAAAGAGAGGGAAAATTGCTGCCTTGTTAGCTGAGAAAGAGACAGGTATTTTCTGCAGCTCACTGGCTAACTCTGCATACCACTCTTTTATGTATGCCCTGTACAAAACATAATCCCCAGTATATCTTTCAACAAAACATCTTGGATTTCTTCCACAAGCCGACCAGACCTAGGTAAATGGCTGCGACCCAGGCTCCCTGCTGCTTTATCTGGGGATTAACTAAAAGGGCAAGGCCATTGCTGCTTGTGGATTCCAGAATCAAACAATATGGGCATGCAGTTCTCCAGGGAGCAGAGCTCAAACTGTCTGGAAAGTGGCTGGAATCAGGACAATGATTCCAATGTCTGCTGTCATCATTATGCACAATAAAAGCTACTGGCTTCTACAGATGAAGTCAAACAATCTTCTTCCCTCCCTCCCTGTTTCGTACACTATGAAATGTCTGGCTTTTTTGGTTCGATATGTCTGCTGCAGCTGAAGTAGGAAATGTCTGTGCTGCGCAGAATTCATCACTGGAGTGGCACATTGACTGACTATTGTTAAGAAATGACTGCAGGCCTACTCATGCTTCAGTCTCATGGCACAGTCAAGTCTACCAACTGTCTGAAGGTGCTGTATTGCAGAGTTGTCCAATACCATCTTCTGCTTATTGTGTGCAGCAGAAATATGGCCAACTGGTGGCCTCCGTGCTGCACCTTGCCTGACCTCATTCTGTCTGGCCTGCTGCACCAGGCTGAATGTTCAAGGCAGGGCAGCCATATTCCCATTTGAAGAATCTGACCTCTATCATTGAACAGAATTAAAACACAACCACCACCCAATAAATAAAAAATAAATACGTCATCCTTTAATGTAGCTTTTGACTGATCTACCAGCCTTCCATTACTGTTGGATTTAAGTTTCGTGCTATACAAGCCCTCTCTCTGCTCTCCGTTTTATTCCTAGTTCACCCTATTTGTAAGTGATTTATTTTCCCCAGCAATAAAGCAGTTCTATATTTACTGATTTGACTTAATACGATTTGTTGCAGTTTATATCTCACCGTGCCGCTAGTGAGCTCAAGGTGGGCATACTCACTTCTCTTCCTCCCCCATTTATTTGCCCAACGATCTTGCGAGGTAGCCTGGTTGAGAGATAATATCTATTTCGCAATCACTGAACGAATTTTGTGGCTGAGCGACAAAGTAGAAGGCCTCAAATAGCCATCATGAGTAGTGTCCCCAAGCCATTTTTCTGCCCTTCTCCCAAGTATCTCAGCAAAAAAGGATTTGAAGAAGAAGAAAACACATGGAGATCTGCATCTCCAGGGGGCACCATTCCCCTCTGGCTGTTCTGCAAATATCAGAAGTTACTCCCATCACCCCCAAACGGCACGTAACCTTCTGCTTTAATGTACAGGGGAAGGGGCTGCCCTCCGACAGCGTGTTGATGCTCTGCCCACCCAACCACACTGGCTCTTATGTTATAAATGCAACTTAACCGTATGTGTGTGAGAGAGATTAGTTTTCTTTTATGGTTTAACAATTATTTGGTTACAGTACTTTTATAATAACTGGGGTGTGGCCTCACTAAATAGAGGAAGTGAAATATTGCAGGGCTCAGGTGCTGCCTTGTGTTGTGCCCCTATGCTATGGATACTACAGTGGGCAGGAAAAGAGTGGGTTTTGTAATACTGCAATACTGTACAGGGCAATTTTTGGCATTCAAATGAGGACTTTTAAACTATTTTAGGTACTTTGGAGAAACGGGAAAATAAGGAGTCACCATTAAAAACTGTTACCATGCTACTGGTAGTAATTACTTTTAAAAATGAATGTTCATAGGTCTGTTAGATTGGGGAAAGCCTGCAACATAGATTCAAGGTCCAGCTAGACAATACATTAAATGCATAATCACGTTTCTGCATATATGTGTACAAAACTGCAGCCACATCCCTGGAGCACTAGGAAATCCTCTGGAGTAGGTTTTATGAGGCTGCAGGGAGGAGACACAAAAGATGTTATGTTATGCTAATGGATTTCTGCAAGGGGGAAACTGGGTTTAATCCCCAAAATGTAAGAGGACAGGAATGGAAAGTTGATTTTGTAGCTGAGAGCTTAGAAAAAGAAATTGTAAATTGCATAGCTAAGAATTTCAGAATTTCTGGAAACATTGTAATGTTCAAATAGTAATCTTCTCAAGGAAAGTCTCACTGACAGCCTTATGTTCAACGAATTATAGTAAAATCACTATCTGCACTGGTTAACTTTCTGCACAGTGATAAATAGTAACTTAAATCTGGGTGTTTCCACATTATGTGAACAGATAGAGTTAGGCTCCATTAGTCTACAGAGAGAAGACAATTTATTCATGAAACATGTTCTCAATGGGTTAGCAATTATGTTAGGTTTGATTAAAAATACACAGAATACTGGACATTTTTCCTTTTCCATTTTATAAAGATGGCCTATTAAAATTTCTATAATACTGTTACACTGCATTGACTCTTTTTTCCATTTTCTTTTCTTCAATTTCTTAAATGTATACCTGTTTATTCAGTAGACATTTGGCTAAATGTGAAATATGAAGTGTCACTAATGTATGGAAATTTGGGAAGCCATCATTCAAATTCCTGTCAAGACTGTTTTTTATTAGAAATGCAGATCACTGGCTTCAGAGCCATAGGTTAGGAGTTCAAATTCCAGAAGAGCCAGCCTGGGTGGCCACGGTCAAGCTGCATATCCCAGGATCTCTACAGAAGAAAGGGAATAGTAAACCAGTTCTGAGTACTCTTTACTTAGAATACCCTGCAAAAGAATCAACGTAAGTCAGAATTGACTTAAAATAATAAACTTCGAACTGCAGAGCTGGAAACAACCCTATGGATCACCAAACAGAGTACTTGTCAAGCAGGCATGGTAGGGTATTGAACTCTCAACCTATGGCTCTTCAGCCAAATACCTGGATCAAATAAGTTATCCTGTAGTAGCTACCTAATGGAACACACATACACAGCAGCTTTCAGAAAAAGCAATGTTTCATTTAATACAAGAGCCCTGCTGGATCAGGCCAAAGGCCCATCTAGTCCAGCTTCCTGTATCTCACACAGGGGCCCCACCAGATGCCTCTGGGAGCACACGAGACAGCTAGATACCTGTCTCCTGATACTCCTCCTCTGCATCTGGCATTTCAAAGTCCCTTCCTTTTAAGCTTGGAGATTATACATCCCCATCACAGCTTGTAACCTGCGATGGATTTTTCCTCCAGGAA